AACAATAGTGTAGTCTCGAGGACACAAATGCATGGATAACATCTTTAACTCAGCTTTAGAAATCATCATGTGAAGTGTATATATGTTTCACAGTTGGAAAAAGCAGTTTGTAGTGAGTTGTTTAGAGTGGTAGACATCGCATCATCAAAAAACTCTGAGCTTTAGAAATGTAGATAGACTAATAATGCTGGATTACTCTCAAACGTGTTAATGAAACAATGAAACGAAACACAACTCCAGGTCTGTTTTTGAGGAGGAAACAATATTAGAACATGTTATTAGGTTTTGACTAGAGTGGTCATGTGATTTTGCGTCAGGTGACCACTCTGAGGAAGAGCACAGGGAGCAGTCAAAACTGTCAGGCATGAAAACAAACTCTTGATCTGAAAAAAAACAAACAAGCTAATAACATAAATAGGGTCTATTCACGCTTACATCACAACCCAGGAAGACGTTTGGAAAGATGTGACGACAACTTCCCAGGCATAGTTTTCTTCATCTCCATGTCATTGTAGTGTTCCGTTATGTTCGTTTTATCAACAATTCCAATCATACCTCAGTTTTCATAATTTCCTCACTGACGCACAACTCCGAGTGCACTGGGAAGAGATGAGGCACCAAATTCCAGATGATTCCAAACAGCACATACGTCTGCAGTCTTCATTTTAACGCTGATCACATTTACTTCAGTGGGTTTGATCACAGTCGGTCGGTGAGCACAGTATCGGGAACTACACCGGAAGTCGTCGTCACATGTTTCCAAACGTCTTCCTGTCTGTGATGTAAGCGCGACTAGAGCCTATTAGCGGACACCAAATAAACATCACTGGACTAACTTCATACCGTGGCTTAAACGTCACAAGAGTCCATTTTAGAGATTTCTTTGTAGGTCTAGTACATGTGAAGAAATTGCAGTGTTGTACTTTTGTGTAATATAGAATCTTTAAAGCAGATCTATTCTACAAAAACTTTTCAGAGCTTTTAGCCAGGTCATAGTAGTTTCTTCTCATTGACCTGCTGAAGTTGTATTTACAGTGATTCATGCCTGTTTGAGTTATCTTTATACTTCTGTATTCTGGACGTCATTGCTCCAATCTAACAGTTTTCACCTCCATTGGAACACGCCCACTGTGACGTACTCAGTTACGTTCTCCAACTTTGACTTTGTCCCCCTGAATTGTACCCTTTATGATACTAAATTAGTTAATCTATCCTCCTGAGACCCGGCCCATTCATTTGTGTCCTTTGTAGTGGACAATGAGTTAACCAGTGTTTTGAGATGGACTCTTAATGGGGAGACTAGGTTCCTCTGCGTAAATAGGACTGGGGGTCAGTGTTGGGGAGTAACAGATTACATGTACCGGAGTTATGTAATCAGAGTACAAATTATGAGTAACTGTATTCGGTTACAGTTACTGTTTCAGTGAGTGGTAATTGGATTACAGTGACTTTGTTGAAATAAATGGATTACATGGTGGTATTTTCTTGTTTTCACCTTTTGGGCTATATCCCTTTTTTTTTTTTTTTTTCTCGGTAATTCCACTCATTGCCGGACACTAAACCAAATCTAAAACCAGGTCTAAACCAGGTCTAAAACCAGGTCTAAAACCAGGTCTAAAACCAGGTCTAAACCAGGCCTAAACCAGGTCCAAACCAGGTCCAAACCAGGTCTAAACCAGGTCTAAACCAGGTCCAAACCAGGTCTAAATCCAGGTCTTATCAAGGTCTAAACCAGGTCTCAAACCAGGTCTAAACCAGGTCTAAACCAGGTCTAAAACCAGGTCTAAAACCAGGTCTTAACCAGGTTTTAACCAGGTCTAAACCAGGTCTAAAACAGGTGTAAAACAGGTGTAAAACAGGTGTAAAACAGGTGTAAAACTGGTGTAAAACAGGTTTTAACAGGACTAAACCATGCCGCACGGACCGTGTTTCCTTCTCTTCTATCAATAATATTTTTAATTTGGTTCAGTAAAGTCTGGGCTTTTTATTTTCTTTTAGCAGATAAAAAATCTTATGTTAAGATTTCCTAGTCTTTGCTTCTCTACAGCAAATCAAGTAATCCAAAGTATTACGTTACTTATTACGTAACTTATTACGTTAAGATTACGTTACTCACCTCAAGTAATTTAATGGATTCCATTACAAACTACATTTTGGGGTATGTAATCTGTAATCTGTAGGGGAATACATTTTAAAAGTAACCTTCCCAACACTGCTGGGGGTTATAGTGTACTATCATGTCCAAAAAAACAAACAACAACAACAACAACAAAATACTTTGTAGGAGTTAGTTTGTGGCTGCATTATGACAAAAAAAAGGAAACTTAGAAGGAAGTCTAAAAACTTTTGGAGGTGACTGTAGAAGCTTGTCAGAGAGGTTGGTCATCATTTAGTATGTGCAGTTTTATGTATTTTAGCATATTAGGGTGTGTGTGTGTGTGTGTGTGTGTGTGTGTGTGCATGTTTGTGCGTGTGTGTGTCTGGGTTGTTTGGTTGTGTGGGGTTGGGCAGGTGTGGGGTTTTGGTATGTGGGTGGGCGGATGGAAATGTGGGATTGTTTTTAATCACTGTAAAGGATTTTGTGTTACATTTTTGTATGACAAGCACTTTATAAATAAAGTTTGATTGATTGATCAAAATAGTTGTATTTGTTCGTTTCTCAACTTTACATGGATTTAACATCAAAATGTCCCTGGCGTCCATTACAGTGGACATGTTATAAAATTATAAATCAAAATAAAATGAACAAAATGTAAATGCTAAGGTGTTCATTTACCTCCAAATAGATAGAAAACCACAAAAATATATATTGCAATACACTTTTTTCTTCAGGTCCCAGGAGGATACATTAAAAACATTTTTTTTTTCATTATATATTGTATTAATTACACACGCAAGTTACAATATACCTCAACACAAAGATGCAAAAATGAAAACTTTCTTTATCTGTAATACACAGAGGATCCAGCAGTGACACAGGAGGGACTAAAAACTCACAATAATAAAGCAGAACTTTGCAGATAAAATAGTTTTTAAAGCTCATTTTTGTTGAAATTTCTTCATGTGAGTTGAGTGTGGATCTGTTGTCGTGCACAGAAGCAGGTCATGGTCAAATCTACGCTCCATAGACAATGATTACTGTACGTCCTCTGTACAAGTTCAAAGTTCATGTGGGGTCAGTTGGTATTAGCTCACAGCTCACGCGCTCCTTCAGGTTTTTCCTGTTTTGTTTCAGAGACAGCAGCAGTTTTGTATTTCAGACATTTGTCAGTTTAACAAAGAGCATTTATTGATTTATATGTTATGTCATTCATGTCTGTCCTGAACATGGAAGAGAATGTGTTTTACTCAACTCTCCTCGCACTACATATCCATTCATATTTCAAACACCCATAATCATAATTGAAATCTGTTTCTGAACCTTTAGAAACTACTATCTGATTTAAAACATGTAAATAAGATGCCAAAGTGCAAGTTTTAAATGTATGGACTTAAAAACAACTTTAGTTAAGTCACCACAGAGCTGGTTTGCCTCTATTGTGCTTTTTAACTCTAAATATGTGAATTTTTGAAAAGTCTATGGGAAAACTGAATGGGAAATTGCCTCAATGAGCCTGTGTGGGCTTTGACTGTTTTGCTCTGCTCTCTTCAGGCTGCTGTAGGCATCTCCTGTACCTGCTCTTGTTTACACACACACAGTACACACACAGCAGACAGTGTGTGCTTTTGTGCAGCCGACCATCTGCAGAGTCAAGTGCAGATTCCACACATCAAACAGAACAGCAGTGGCTCTCCAGACCGTTCATTCATACTCTGTATTCTATGCTTCTTTTGAATGAGAGCAATAAGCAGCTAATCCCCCCTAATATGAGCCCTGGAGCTGTGTGCAGAGGCAAAGGGCCTCTCAAGGTCTCTCTCTCTCTCTCTCTCTCTCTCTGAACCCCTTTCTCTTTCTCTCTCTTTCTTCATCAACCCCAAACACGCACAAAAGACAAAATCCTCCAGTTAAAGTCGTGACCAAAACCAGCTCTAGATCTGGAGATGTTCCTTGTGCTCCTGCACGTTTCCCTGCAGCACTGGGGCATGGGTCAAATGCAGAGGGCGGGTTTAGGACAATTAAATGTACCTTAAAGATGCACTGTGCAACTTCTGGTGGAGGGTCCACCACCTACTTGCCTCCATGGAGATGTTTTTGTTTTCCCTGGAATGTTCCATGGTATGACTTTAAACATATCCAGCTAGTGTTTATTCATTGTGTTGTGTTTCTACAGAAAGTACAGACATTTGTCTGATTCCAAAGTCAAGTTTCCCTGACGAAAAATGTCCAAATGTTACTGATGATGCACAGCTCAATATTCTAAGAATCTCCACCTCTATTCACAACATCAGAAAGACTTTTATTACAGTTTATTACACGTCTGGTTCCACAGTTCTGCTCTAGCTCTGGATTGTGTTTGGTGATTCAGTTTTTGGGAATGATGGGGGAAAAAAAAAAATCATTGTCAGCATTTGACCCATCCTTCAGCCAGTGCTGCTTGGGCAATCGCTCACGAGCAGAGAGCTATGAATGACCCAACTCCAGGTCTGGAGCTTCAGGGTGTGTCAGGAGAACTGGAGGATTTAACCTGTTCTATCTTTTCATGTTTTGGGTTGATTATGCAGAAGGAGAACACTACACACTTTCAAAATGTCTTCCCATTTTGTTCATGTCAAACTTGGTAAAAGCCTGTGTTAACAGTTCTAAATGTATTTATTGACCTTTATTTAACCAGGAAACTGAGATTAGGAGTCTTTTTTTCAGTCCAGAGGAGACCTGTTGTAGACCTTGGCTACATGTTTTTAAATGACATAAACATCTTGAATAATATTCTGGACAATATCAGTACAGGACCATTTTAAAGCTGGTTTAAAATTAACTATTGTGAATTCCTGATCCTGCTCGAGTCTCTCTGTCTCTGCCCCCTGTCCCCAATCCTCTTCTTCCTCGTTTCCTGCTCTCGAGTCTCCGTGTCCATCTCTATCTTGTCCCCGCTCCTGTCTCCGGTGTGTGCTGAGCCCGTGTCCCGCTGCAGAGGCACTGTGGCTCCCTCTCAGTTCAACCGGCGGGACTCCACTCTCACCTCTCCCGCTGCTGACGTCACCGCAGCCTGGGCAGAGCTGAGAGCCGCCTGCGGACATAGCGCCGAGGAAAATGCTTCTCTCCGTACCGCCAAGGACAGGAATCAACCCCTATAGCAGCGGATTCAACGGAAGAACCAGCAAAAAGGTGAGTCTTCCCGGGACTCTGGCGCTCTCTGGCCCCGCGGGGTAGTGTCCGAGCGTGCGTCGCGAGGGAAAGGGGCTTGACAGCGATCCGCGGTGTCCTTGAAAACGCCAAACGCACTGGTTATAAGTTACGGAGGAGTTAAAATGCAGGTTTGGGCGCACTCAGTTCCGTGGTATGTCCGGGCAGCGCTGGACATTTTGTTACGGAACGGTTCGGTCACGTTGGTTGTTTATCGTGACTATTTGAGGCGCGCGTAAGTGGAACAGCGCGGGGATGTCAATAGCCTATCTCCCACTCTCTCATTTGGTGGAGAGAACTTTTTGGTGGGAGCAGACAGAGCCGTACAGTCGGGACGGGTTTGATGTTTGTGGAGGTGGGGGTAGGGAAGGATACGGGACGGTCGTGCGGTTCCAGCGAGACGAAAGCGGCTACGAACGCGCACTCGGCTCTTAAGAGTTTAAAATCAGGAATTCATTGTGTTTAAAAGCGCCAAAGTTTGCAAAGTTTTCCCCCCGTTTCTCATCTGAAAACGGAATATGCCCCACCCCTCGAAAAACCCCACCAGACCGCCGAGATGAACGCATTCCCAGAAATTAAAAATACGAACCGCGATCCGTGCAAGCGCCGCCGCGAGCCGAGTCTTCAACATCACCGATTCGCGAAAGTTTAGGGGGGGAAAACGAGCAGAAACATGCAGGCTTATGTAACGGGTTAATGTTTGTTTTTTTGGCCCCGTCTCCTGCGCGCCGTACCCCCGTGACCGTGTGTGTTCGTGCGCCCGCGGCTCGTGAGTCTCCGTGGCGACTCCCGGTGACACGGTGAAAGCCAATAGTGACGGATTGTCTTTCCTCGGCTCATCCTCGTCTGGGGTCACGACATTGAACCGCGGGCTTTTAGGTTCAGTAACGATTTTCTTGTTGCTTTACATTAGCGCGTAAAGTTCAAATACGGTTTCGTTGTGTTTTTAAGGTGGACCGAGTGGCTATTGCACGTGTTTTTAAGCTAATCTGGTGTTAAATTACACAAATGTGCTTTATTGAGTTGTATTTTTAGTCAGCATTTGTGATTAAATTAGTTTGAAGCCTTGCCTATGGGGTCAGAAGAGGTCAAGTGCTTTCTAGGAACTAAATAAAACCTATAGCTCGATATTTTAGGTGGTAAAAGCTTTTCTGATTCTACAATTCATCTTTATGATTCTTCTCCAGCTTTGATTTGTTTAAAGACACAGTTTGTAACTTTTAAAAGGCCTTTATTGTTATTATAATGCTGTTTCCTCATCACAAACCGACCCGGAGTTGTTTCATTCACGCAAATTTGTTTAACACACAAATCCCGCAGATTGATCGAGACTGAGTTCTGATCTCAAAAAGAAAATGCTCTGTTCCACCTGGTGATACAGGGAGTGCTCCACTGTGTTTTTAAACTCCATTCACCTTCACTAGAATCATTTGGATCGTTTCAGACAAGGAATTACCGGAAAAAAGTAAAGTGTTGACTTGAAAACTACCACTATATGACATCACGAGGTGGAACTGAGCATTTTGATAGATGGAATGAATGAAAATAAACATGAATGAATGAAACACAACACAGGAAATCAACTGGAAAGTCCCTCTGAATTGTACGCTTTATGAAACTAAATCTTTGTAGACATTAGGGACATAACAATAACTGAAATATCGTGATATCGTATCGTCAAACATCTCACAATAATATCGTGGGCTGTCACAATATATTGAATTACAAAATCTTTTGCTTAAATTCATGGTTTTATAGTAGTAACACCTTATAAACATCGGGAACTACATATCCCATGATTCATTTCAGTGCAGACAATATGAAGAAATATGTTTGTAACTTGAATGTTTGCGATTATGATGGAAATAATTCACAACAAAATCTTGTCAAGGTATTTTAAAAGCAAAAGCAAGCGTCTTATCTACATTTATATCAGCCTTTTCAAAATATCGCAATAAATATCGTACCGTGAGATGCATATCGTGATAATATCGTACCGAGAGATTTGGATATCGTTACATCCCCAGTATACATTAAAAAATAACATCTTTTTCATTACATAAAGTTACAATATATCTCAACACAAACATGCAAAAATGAAAAGTTTCTTGTGTTACACTGCTTACATCTTATTTTCATGGCAGCAAGTGAGGAAATAATGAATATTTTTTCCCGAATCAACAGTTACAGATGCTGTAGGACAAGGAGAACAAGAAAAAAATGATTTAAAATATGATTTCATAGTAAACTTCTGTGAGCACAACTCCAGGTCTGTTTTTGCGGAGGTAATAACATAACTTAAAGGTCACTAGAGTCAATTTTGTGTAATATAATTTAATTTAAGACAAAAATCGACTAAAATTAGGGATGCAACGAGATCCAAACCTACGATATTATCACGATATGCTTCTCACGGTACGATATTTATTGCGATATTTTGAAGACGGGACACTGTTTTGCTTTTAAAATACCTTGACAAGATTTTGGTGTGAATTATTTCTGTCATAATCCCAAGAATTCAAGTAAAAAACATAATTCTTCATATTGTCTGCACTGAAATGAATCATGGGATGTGTAGTTTCTGATGTTCATAAGCTGTTGCTACTATAAAACCATGTATTTAAGCAAAGGAACTTGTAATTCGATATATTGTGATATTATTTTTATTATTATTGTGAGACTTTTAATGATACGATATCACGATATTTTAGTTATTGTTACATCCCTTTTCTCTTTGGTTTGGTGTATCGCTCTGAAAACATGCGTCCTTATGTGTGCGGTCTTGCATCTCCACAGACCTGGCTTTTACCTGACCTGCTTGTTTCCATGGAAATGCTATTTCTTTGGTTTTAATATTCCACTATATTATCCTTTAAAACTGATCTCCACGGGGAATGTTCCCAAGTGTGGTTTTACTTTCTATTTCCATGAAATCATGTAACTGCCACTTCCAGACACTTCAGTGTGCCTTTAACGTGCGTAAGTGCAGATGACTTTGCTTTTCATTTCAAAGTGGTAGCGTAACGTTTGTGGTTTCTGCTGGTTTGGATGTTTGGACCTCCTCTTCTTGTTGTTTAGCTCACGGCTTTGTACTTTTCACAATTCTCCAGCAGTGGTCTGTGCAATTAATCATATTTTGAACAAGATCGATTTGTGTTTTTAATGGAGAGGACCACAGCCAACGGTCTGTCAGTGAAAGCATGAGGTTTGGAGCAGAGTCAGACTTACAGAAATACATTTGAAAAGTTTTGTAATAGCAATTTGAGAAAGTCCATTGCTCATGTTCAGGATATTCATATTCATAACCAGCTACATTTGCTTTTAATAAGATAAAATCACGTTGGGAGTGTTCTTCATGTATGTTTATTGGCAGAATGTTCAGCAGTTACCATGGAGACACATAAGCAGATACGTTTTAACAATGACTTAAAGGTGTGTTGTGTAACTTTTCCGGTGGAGGGTCCATCAAATACTTTTTTGCTATTGCTTTGTCTGGAATGGCTCACATTATGGCATTAAACCTTTCTCTCTTCATGAAGACAAAACCAGACCAGGTTGCAGATCAGATCTGTGGAGAGGCAACCCCTCTCAATGTTGTATGTATGTTGTTTTTGAGCTGTAATTTAATAAATATAAGATAAATGTAAAGGTCGCCACTAGGGGATGGGCATTCGTTAAAATTTTCTTAATCTATCGTCAGGAGAATTAATGATCGATTATCGATTAATCATTAACGTTTTTATATTAAAATAATCATCATTATTATTACTATCTGCACTACTAATCTGCATAAATAAATTCAACTTTACGACATATAAAGCGTAACCACTCTAGAGCCACATCAGCCCGTTTGACATTATAATGTGTTAATGCAGCTTTGCACAACTCTCACAGAAACGAAACTTAAAACCACATGGCTAATGTGCATAAACTAAGCGAAGGTAAAAAAACAGCTCTTGTGCGCTGATGCGGTTCAACTTCTGTCGTATTAAAGGGCACGACTCAGTGGAATACAGGTTAGTGTGACCATATTTGCGTTTGTCAAAACCAGGACACCGTACGGGGGGGTGGCAGGTGGGCCCTCGTCATCGACATTGCGCTGCTCTCACCTGGCATAACTTTTTCCCACTGGACACTGAAACATATGTACACTGTGCACATGGCCTCCCACGTGTCCCGACCAGAACGGAAAGCGTGAAATTTCTTGTACAAGTCATAGTTAAATACGCATTTGCGCTTCGACATGTTGCAGACCGACTGTTTGTGTCTTGCTCCTTCTGAGTGCAGAGAGCTACATGTACGGACCCCTGTTTGGTCACGCACAGCAACCTACATTCTGTTTGTCGATTAAAATGAACATAATCGATGAAATTCTTAATGATCAATTATTGATTAATCGACTAATCATGACCATCCCTAGTCACCACTCACTACAGGAGTTTTCAGTCTTAAATGATTTTTAAAGTGCAACAAAAAGCACACACCACAGACCCGAGAAGAATCTTATGAGATTCAAAATCTCCGATCGCAAAGACTGCAGCAGGATCTATTTGCGGACCACAGGATATAAAATTGTGAGTATGATCTCGTCAGCTGTTTCCTGTCTACAGTAAAACCACTCGCTTTGAGACTCTAAGGTGTTCAAAAGATCAGAGCACAAGTCAAAACTGTGTTATTTGTGAAATGTGGTGCAAAACTTCAGATACATGATTTTAACGCACAGAAGATTGATGTTAATGTCCACAGGAAGTAGAGTCTCGATCGCTAATCTGCAGCTTCACCTCGATCCGTGCACTGTGTGGATGTAAACAGACACACGTGAGGAACTACTCTCACCTTTTTACTTTTAAAGAACACCTCAAACTGGATTAATAGCACTGTTTTGTCTCCTGGATGTCATTATTTGCGTAGGACAGTTTCTATGAATAATATGGATGAAATGCTGCACTTTAAATTTACAACTTTACGAGACGTGAGGAATA